TCAGTCCATCGTATAAGATTACAATGTTCCTGAATTTCCATACTAATTGCTTTTTGTTCCCATTCCTCCTTCCTCGAACTTCTTGACCTTCTGCTGCCAGACATTCTATTCTTGACTAGCGTTATATACTACTTATGTCGATATAAGTAGCACACACCGCAATATTATTATTATTGCTTTCGTATGTACATCTTTCTCTCAAAACTTTTCTTACAAATCATTGGGTTATGTAACAGCAAAATGCATGAGTAAAGTAGAACAATAAATGTTCAAACTATTGTTTTTTTCGTTTTGTATTTATAAATATCAGATTCATTTATGTTTTTTACTTACCAAAAAACAATATTTTAATAATTATTTATTACCATACTAGTTACCTTAACAACCATGTAGATATATTGATTTAACAAATGATTGTTGTTTTATTACAGTAAACTTTTTATCATTTGACATATTAAGAAAATAAAACAACACATAGTTTTAATGTAAGTTAATTCTTTATAATTAATTAATTAAAAGTATGATTAAATTTAAAGTTGCCTAATGATAGTTTGTTGAAAATTGATGTGAATCATAGGGATTTTATTTAAAGTGTTATTTATCACTAATGTAAGTGTTGAAAGTAAATCTACGTTGATTGACATTGGTTCTTATGAGTTATATTTAGTTATCGAAAACGGGAGTATGTTGTTAGGTTTTTTTGAAGGATAATCAAATTACAGAATTGATTTAATATTTAATAATGGCTAAGATCGAACAACACCTAAAACACATTAAAATAACAATTTTTAATAGTTTGATGCATAGATATCATGGATACGTGTTCATTCTGTAGGTGGTATTAGTTGCAAACTGACCTCAATCCAAGTGTCATAGTAAACTAAGGGTCACCTGATAGCTTTTTGTCATGGTATATGATTCTCTTATCATGTATCCTACCAAGAAGTGAGTTCAGCCTGTTCATGACTCTCAAAAAAGATTTATAGCTCGGGTGGATGCTTTTGGTAGTCTTCTATTTACTGGACTGAATAGTTGAAATTTCATCTTAAACAAATTTGACAGCTTTCAGATTAGGTTGAAGAGCTCATTTTATACCATTCATTCGGTGCTTGTTTGGAATTCTTTGGTTACATTACTAGTAGCATTTCTATTATTCTGAGGTGTAGTTTCCTTTTTGATAGGTATTCTGATGAAAGACGCAAATTATTGCATATATGACGAAATTGATAACTGATTAGTACTATTTGAACTATATATATTGAATCATCAAACCGGTTATCATTATTCGATCACTGACCATCCCCACAATAAATTATTATCTTATCTCTATTTATGTCGTGGCTAATACTTCATTCTTGCACTTATTTAATCTTTTTTTAACATTCTACTCGTTCAACTTACTAACATTACATGGTTCTTATCTGATTACATATGAAAACTCTCCGATATTACATAATCATTATCATTCACTGAGATTTTACAGAATACTAAAAGTTTACGCACAATACCATGAGTTGTATTTTTTTATGTTTTTTTGATTACCACGTGAACTGACCTCAATCCAAGTGTCATAGTAAACTAAGGGTCACCTGATAGCTTTTTGTCATGGTATATGATTCTCTTATCATGTATCCTACCAAGAAGTGAGTTCAGCCTGTTCATGACTCTCAAAAAAGATTTATAGCTCGGGTGGATGCTTTTGGTAGTCTTCTATTTACTGGACTGAATAGTTGAAATTTCATCTTAAACAAATTTGACAGCTTTCAGATTAGGTTGAAGAGCTCATTTTATACCATTCATTCGGTGCTTGTTTGGAATTCTTTGGTTACATTACTAGTAGCATTTCTATTATTCTGAGGTGTAGTTTCCTTTTTGATAGGTATTCTGATGAAAGACGCAAATTATTGCATATATGACGAAATTGATAACTGATTAGTACTATTTGAACTATATATATTGAATCATCAAACCGGTTATCATTATTCGATCACTGACCATCCCCACAATAAATTATTATCTTATCTCTATTTATGTCGTGGCTAATACTTCATTCTTGCACTTATTTAATCTTTTTTTAACATTCTACTCGTTCAACTTACTAACATTACATGGTTCTTATCTGATTACATATGAAAACTCTCCGATATTACATAATCATTATCATTCACTGAGATTTTACAGAATACTAAAAGTTTACGCACAATACCATGAGTTGTATTTTTTTATGTTTTTTTGATTACCACGTGAATATTATGTTTATACGAAATTATTGTAGATTGAGTGTTCGATTTGACAACGAAATGAGGATTTGTAATTAACTGTTAGATTTTTAGTTATGACACATCAATATCAAAATAACTTTTCATTTTCAGCTTTAAAGAAACAAAACGTTAACATTAGAAGCCATAGACAACTCAAATAAAAATGTCGTCCATTTAACAGAATCAATTGTTAGTAATGATATAAGATGAGTTCCAATGTAATTTAATGTCATATAAAATATCAATGTGAACAGAATGGTTTCAAGTCATAAAACACGTTGAAATGTTAAACTAAATTATGATTAGTATCAGAAGGAGTTTGTGGATATTATAGTAATTTTAATAGTTAAAACCATAAGTCAGTTGAAGCTACAGCACATTGGAAAACATGGAAGCACTAGATGACCGTTTCGTCCTATTGGGGGACTCCTCAGCAGTGTGCATCCACGGTCCCGCCTCGCGAGATTCAAACCCAGGTTTTTCATGATGGTCTAGCTTCAATTGACTCATGATCCCAACAATTAAAATTAATATAATACCCCACAAAACCCCTTCTGATATTAGTCAGCATATGTTCACTAGTTACTGGCTTTAAGAAGTACTTCCTGAAGTTCTTGTGAGAACCAGTGACCAGTAGAGTTAAACCGTGTCTGTTGTGAGATAGTAACTCACTGAAGATAATGGTGGACGGTGATGAAATTTCGTGGATTGGTTGAAGCTAGACATTGACACCGTTGTATGCCAGCTCAGTGGTTAAGCGTTCGCCCACGAGACTGATAGGTCCTGGGTTCGAACCTCGCGAGGCGGTATCGTGGATGCGCAATGCTGAGGAATCCTATATTAGTACGAAACGACTGTCCAGTGCTTCTAGGTGGCCCGTGGTGGTCTAGCTTCAATTGACTCATAATCTCAACTATTAAAAATAAGTTATGATTAATTAACCTCATTGAAAGTGTGATTGTATATACTATAAATTAGAACCTATTTGTCTTGCACTAGATTATTCGATTGAAATTCAGAATAATACAATAATATATAAAGAGAAGAAACTATATTCTAGGTTTTAAATTGTTTTTTTACTAGATCGAACTGGAATTAGAATATGTGAAAAATAACAAGAATGTTGAGAGAAAGAATTTTTGTCTATATGATAGTGGTTCGAATGAAAAAAGAATTTCGATCTTTGTTACAATTATAAATTTAGAATTGCTCGACCAGTATCCTCAATGGTATGTCACTGGTTCATTCAAGACCTTTCCGTCTTTGTTTACTTAGATCTGACCAAATAATGCTAGGAAAGTCACCATGAATCTTACTTGGTTTACATTCGAACGAATGACAAAAGTACGGACCAGTACATGAGTGACCCCTATAAACTGAATGAACAGCTCCTGATATCAAATTCATAAGATGTCATGACCAGTTATGAAAACTCAACATTTCGATAGTTATATCCAAATGCAGTACGAAAAATTGCCGGTCACATCTGAGTCAATGTATATGTTAAATGCTACAGAGCTCAGAAAACCTTCAAAAACTTTGCTCTCATATCTGATGTTTGGAAACGTTAGCTTTCGTACCAGTTTCAGATGTAGCATCTCTTGACAGTTTTTATCTCACTTCAGCTGATATACTAACATTAATGTTTTGTACTAAGAAATTATTCTTATAATACCCTCTGTTTTGCAGCTCACCCACTTCGACACGCGTCCTTATTAAAGGATACTATTTATTCTAAACTTAATCAAATGTGTACTATATAACTTATGTATAAATGAATTATTGTTAATCATAAGCTTTGATTATATGAGACAATTTTTATATAAAGCTATTACCTTTTTTATAAATATTAAAAGCATCAATTACAATTCATCTCTCGTTTAGAATAGAAAAAATCTGCAATTATTCTTAAATATTTATACTTATTGCTCAAGGATATTCAATAAACTAAATTTATTTAGAATAACAACTAAAGATCATTGAAGTGAATCAAAATAAAATTTCAGTTTTAATTATATTTTGATTGTAAACAAACATTCGATGCACTGATTAACTAATCCATCAGTGTTTAGTAGTGAGCTTCCACGAATCAAAAAAATCAATAGTCATGCTTTATAAATTGACATTTAAACATTTCTAGTTTCTGTCCAATGGTGATTATAACTACTAAGTTTCATTCAATAGGTTATACTTATTAAATTGTTTATGTAAAAATCAAACAAATTCATTATAAAAATAAGAGAGATCAACAGAACGTTTCGTATAATATTATTATAGTACAATATTAGTGTTTGTTACTAACTAGAGATTAATAAAAAATTTTTATTGTTCAGTTTGTTTTTAATAGTTCTCAACTTATTAGTACTTTGATATAATATAAAATGAATATTATTCTTTATAATTTACCAAAAATATATTTATTTATTTATAATGTAATGAATGTATAATCAAAATTATTTATTATACATTACTAATTCATTTATTTTGAATATAAAATTAAACCAATCAAATTATTTAAATGAATTTTATTTATTCTATAGTATTTATTTCTTATTGGTTAATTTTAGTTTATATAGAGTAATTAAGTTAATGTTCATATAAATACCCTGAATCACCAGGATTCTTGGTAATACCTATATAAACAATAACTCATTAATTATCATTGAAATGATAGATATTTACTTATACTACTGATATATATATATATGTATAAATACGAGTTTAGTTTATCATCGAAAACTGATTTAAAGTTGTTATCTTGTTTAATATTTTATTATGTACAGAATAAAATAAACATAGATTTACATCTTTATTAAATGAAAATAAACAATTGAATGAATAAAGCATATTTCTCAGTTAATAATATATAATTTTGAATAGAAATTATAAATGTCTTCATTTTCTTCTTATTTGTAAATTGGTAAGTGTATCTGAGCTTCATAAATAAAAATGTAAATATGATTTTTTTTATTCTAGAACATTTTGTTGTATACACTTAGAATGCTTTAATGTATTACATTTAAAATAATCTCAAATGTGAGATAGTGAAGATTTGTAGTTTAGGTGGATGATTTTAATACAGTTTTGTTCTTTGAGCAAACCATTAAGCTCAAAGAACAAAACTTCATCACTTGTTATATAGTTTTATCAAGAAATCATTTTTATACTTAACTAAAATTATTACAGTGAATAGTGAATAATTTAAGCTTCTATTTGAGAATTTATGCAATTAAATTGTTATTTACTTTTAAGCAATTAGTCCTTTTTTATAAATTTCGAAAGAACAATGAGAAGACGGAATCGATCTGAAAAATGTGATGTATTTGCGCTATACATTTCGAACAATCTGATCACACATATACTTGTCGGGGTATTTTTATATGAAAATTAATAAAGGTCAATTAAATGAAAGTTCAAGTAAGAAAAATTAAATAACAAAGGGGAGAGAAAAATAAAAAATTGTTGAGTTATCCTACGTCATAGAATGACTTAAGGATTACCAAGGTAAATTCAAGGTTACGACAAATTGTTTTCGTACACATAAGGGTGGGGGGTAAATTTACAAATAGCCAAGGCTTCAATAAACTTAAGCATTCGTCCTTGAAAATTTCTATACAACGTTCTAAAAGCTGTATTAATGTCTATGTTCTGCCCCGTTTCAATTATATGTTTCGCTATCGATGAACCTGGTTTATTTTAATCGTTACATCAGTTAAATCATATAAATTGGATTAGTTTATCATTAGTTTATCAGCTCACTGGAGACAATGGTGTACGGTGGCGCAACTTCGTGGATTGGTTGAAGTTAGACATTAACACCGTTGGATGCCAGCTCAGTGGTCTAGTTGGTTAAGCGCCTGGCGCGAGACTGATAGGCCCTGGGTTCGAAACCCGCGAGGAGCGGGATCGTGGATGCGCACTGCTGAGGAGTCCCATACTAGGACGAAACGGCCGTTCAGTGCTTCCAGGTTTTCCATGGTGGTCTAGCTTCAATGGATTCATGATTTCAACCAGTGAAATTTCTAAAATCTCCACACAATCCTTTCTGATATTAGTTTATCATAATCGAAATCTTTAAATGTTTTCAGTAATATTGAATTACCGTTACCAGATACCTGATGCATGTAGATGTGTTTGAGGATCTTAAAAACAAATTAGATATTTGTTTTAACTATCAAACAATTACTTAACCGAACTGGTTTGTAAATATATAAACTGTATTGTTACTAATAATAAAATACCGATTGTTTGAATGGATCATTAGCCATAATGGATCTCATCTTCAATATAGATATTAGTTAAAACTGTTCAGTTTCATGATTATTACACATTAATAACTTGTTCATATTTCTATCTTGAATAGATTTAATATATAAAACATTATCACTGTTGTTTCTAACATAGTTTTATCACACTAGTTACTGTATGTGAATTCTTTCAATTTTTGCTCAGAACAGGAACGATAATAAACTCTTTTTGTGTATTCATAATTAACTCATACATTTACATGAATAATTATTTCTAAAGATTAATTAAAGTTAGAAATCAAGTTATTCGATAATATTGAGCATTTTTAAGAATCCATATAATCATTAACATATATTTAAGAATAAAGAATAGAATCTATTAAGCTTACAAATACTATAGTTCAGAATTGGCTTAAAGCTTTAAGGGAAATACTGTTTTTATTTCATAGATTTATGTTGTTTTGATAAACTCACTAAAAGGTCAAGTAATAAAAAATACCATTGAGTTTTAATTAACTTTTCAAAGTATAAAACTCAGTCATAAATTTTAGTCGGTAATTTGAAATAACAAACAGAACTCTTTAAGCAATAATAAGTCAACATTTGATAAATAACTAAATTATATCAGATGGGGTTTTGTGAATATTATAGTAACTTCAATAGTTGAGATTATGAGTCAATCGAAGCTAGGCAACCATGGAAAACCTGAAAGCACTGGACGGCCGTTTCGTCCCGTCGAGGGTCTCCTCAGCAGTGTGCATCCACGATCCCGCCCCACTAGATTCCAACCCAGGACCTATCGGTCTTGTGCCCCAATGTTTAACCTTTAGACTCATGATCTCAACTATTGAAAGTAAATTATAGGTTAAAAAAATAATTTACCATAAATTATGAATTTTATTTCTTTTATGATTGAAACAGCTGAAAAATGTATTATCCTAATAAAATAGGCCATACTACTGATTTTTAATTAGTAATTCTAAAAAATACAACTTGTCCCTAAACTCTACATAATCTCAGCTAATCTAAGAATATAGATATATATCATAGTGTTTACGACTAACTTCATGAAGACCTTGTGAAAAAAATGGTGGATTCTGAATTAAACTTAATAGTTTATGTGGCATTATCACACTAATAACACCAAATGAAGTTCTATCGAAGTAAGAGTTTTATTTTGGTACCCAAAGGAAATGCAATAATAATAATATATAAAACTTTGTAACGAGAAATCATTAAAAAACGTTACATTGAGAGTAAGCCATGCTACATTGGTCTGTCAAATGATTTCTTTTATTAATGAGAACTTGTACAAAATTTTGTTTTTGAAACACACCTTCGAAAGAAACATTCCATCAATGTAATATTCTGTTTGTCTTGATATAATTAAATTGATTCTTTAGGTAGTGAATTAATTAAATCAACACCTTGAATAAGGTGACAGGCATACTAGCCTTGGTAAATCATTAGTTCTATCAGAATTTAAACAAATACCATTGAGATCAATCATTTGTGACACTAATTCAACAATGCAAGAACATTATCAATTGCATAATAGAAAATAATATTGATGAATTTACAATATACTTTATCATTCGTTTTATCAAACATTTATTCATATAATCGATAAAGTTTCTGTCTTCTGTCTCTATATAATTACTTACTTACATACTCCTATTTCTCCTCGTGGAAGAGCATAGGCCACCCACCAGCATTCTCCATTCAACCAACCAACACTGAACAATAAAAAAAAATTTGGAAAATTATTTTCTTTCATATTTATAGTTTCCAAATTTGATTTATTATAATGATATTATCCTTGCTATCTAACTGTCATTAGTATTTAGTATTGGTAAAAGAAGAAAAGATTATTTTATTACATTGACTACAAACTAGCTATGTTATGTATATACGCGTAAATCAATTCGGGAGTACAACCATTTTCTTCCCTATATCCAGGATAAATTAAGGAAAACAAATTGTCATTTATTTTAAGATGAATCTAAAGCTATTTACAAGATTAGAGAACTTTTTTTCATTTAAATATATATATAATCTATTACGTCATCTTGGTTATTCATGTACACATCTCCACACGGAACTAGTACTTTAACAAAAAAAAAAACAATAAAACGCAATGGAAATTATTTAGTATATCTATTGGTTTACATTAAAAAAAACATTTTGTCAATTAAATTTAGATAACAATTGATTTATGACACAATGATAGATAGATAGATGGATGGATGGATGGATGAATGAATACATATGAATATTCAGTTCAGTATCCATTCTTAGTACGAATTTATTTCATAATGGGAAAATAAATATTTTCTTTTTATCAAATAATTTTCATATTCATTAGTTTATTTTGATATTAGCTAATCAAATCAAGCCTATATATTTAAGTTAGCTAGTAGTTCGAGTTATCTACAATATATATATTCATAAATAATAGAATAAATAAACATAATTAATATTATGAATAGAAACGGTATGTGTATTTCGATATATTGTTTTCAATTACGTCATAATAAACTAACTAAATAGTAAAGCCGTTTTAGTTTCCTGTTATTGTATTGTTATAATTTCTTTGTTCTAAAATATTATGTAATTTGTTCTTGTTATGAATTAGAATAAAGTTAGAGCCATAATATATAGATATAGTTATTATAGATAATTTTTGTTACCCTTATTTCTTTAGTCATTAGCAGTGATTATTTCATGATCGATAGTACTTTAATGTTAAACAATATATATATATATATATATATATATATATATATTGGTTGTAAGTAACTGACAAGTAGCTACAAAATATAATGAATTCGTATTGTTCTACTTTCATTATTGTTCTAAAATAGTTTATAAATAAGGAAAAGTGATTTCTTCAATCAATTAGATTGATTGTTTTGTAATAGATGATTGTAATTCATTTAATTAGTGTATTTAGTTAGGTTTCTTTTTCCTATTCAGATCAACATTGTAATATGGTATTTTTCATTTTAACTTTTCAATTAGATAAACGCTAAGTAGAAATTGGATTAAGAGGATTAATTAAATAATTATCAATGAACTTTATGAAACTAATGATCATTTACTTAATTAATGATTATAGTAACATAGTTTTATTAATGATAAATAATTTTAAAAAATCTTTACCACATTTATGTTTATTACTGACTATATAACTCTCATTCTATTAAAACACATCTGTATAAATGTTCATACAATTGTATTTTGACTATATAACTAGCTTTAAACATATCTTTATCCATACATTTATAAACTAGAACAGTATTACACTGTTTTAGAAAAAGAATTATATTATGAAATATTCATGTATGTAATGTTTATTTGAAAAGGAAAAAAAAATTGAATAATCAATTGTTGCTATGAGTCAGAATATTATTATTATCTGTATAGATATTCATTGATTTAATAAATAGAAATAAATTTTGAGTCTAATTTACTTCTTATATATAAAATATTTTAATATTTATCATTAATCATTCCTTCAAATTAAGTAATAATTTCATATATTTCATCTATGTATACAACTAGTGCAGTGAACACGAACACGAGCGGGAGACAATCGAATGAATTTGACAACAAATTACAGAACTTGTTAATAAAATCTAACAATCATTAAGTAAATGCTCAATTTGCAAAACGTCCATCATTTGTCTCAGGATGACTCAGACTTCGTTGTTCTTGCAATTTCATACAGATGGCATTCTGTTTTCATTCTTTACTGTTTAATCTTCTTGTCTCTCTGCTTCCAGACATTCTGTTCACGACTAACATCATATACTACTTATGTCTACATATATAGCACACATCACACTAGTAGATCATTATAGAGCATATTTAACTAAATTACCAAATGATTAATCAATAAATTACATTAATTGATTAAGTAAATATTTTTTTTAAAAATTAATAAATAAAATTATGAACCTTAGATTTTCTATAATGATAACCTTATGAGGTCATATAGAACAAAAATTATAATAGGAACGTAAATGATAATTTTTTTCTTTTGAAAACAAAGAGTATTCTCTGTTTGTACATTCATACTGATAGTAATTGATGAATAAAGGAAATCTCTTCTTAAATGATTGAATTAATGTCAAATTTACCAAATTTGTCTCTTATTTGTTTTGTATTACAATTTGTTTATTGATTAAATGAATTTTTGGTAAACAAATTATTATTTTCTACTATAAATGAAATTTATTAGAGATACATTTGGATGACGTAAAACAGTTAGATGTTTTTCAAAACAAAGAATATATAGATAGATAGAGAGATAGATAGATAGATATTACGTAAATTAGTATTGGTAAACTTACTTTAATTTTTAATGTCAACAATATTAGACATTTAATGTTCATTTAAATTAACTTATGAATCGAATTCAAAATTAAACACATAGAGTATTTTGTTTTAATTAAAAATCAAAGCATGTGACATAAACATTTATATAATTTGTTTTCCGTAAAACATTATAATCAGCATCATAGTTCGAAAAATTCTGAAGTAAAAGTAGATAGTAACATCGAACTAGCGCATGAGACTGAAGGTCTTGAGTTCGAATCTTGCGAGTAGGATTGTAAATGCGCTTTGTTGAGGAATTTCATACTAGTATGGTTTGTGCTATTGATGTTGATAGATATGAGTAGTATACATCATCAGCTGAAAGTGAAATACTCGACAGTAGAATGTTAAGAAGAGCAAAGAAAAGAGAACGAGAAGAAAGAATGATTGATGTGGAAATGAAGGAACAGTAAAGTCTGAGACGACTGATTGATATTTGCAAAAGGAACAGTCAAGTTTGAGACAAATGATCAAAATTGTGCAGATGAAATATTTACTGTATAGTTCTTAGATTTTACTAAGATGTTCTGTAGTTTTTTTTGCAAATACAATCGGTTGTTCCTACTTGTATTCTCGTTCACTACACTACAACACAGTGCTGCCAGGTTTTCCATGGTGGTCTAGCTTTAATCGACTCATGAATTCAACTTTTCGATTAGAAATGTGTCAGCCTATTTTATTGTGAATTGGTTATCGTGCCGTTTTCTTTTCCAGTTTGTATATATAAATAATACAAAAATAAATGATACAACTTATTAATAAATGAAAATCAGGTTACTTTCACTTAGATGAATGATAACGCAAAGTTAGTGCTTTTTCAGCATCATTCTACTAATCTTGAAAACAGTCAACCAAATTTTCTTGTTAGTTACTTTAATTATTTCTATGAAAAAAATATGTCACATGGAAATAATCATGTTAACTCAATATTATACGGCAAAACTATAATTTATGCACGAACCAATCAGATTTAGGATAACAGGTCTTGGATTTTGGCGCAAAATTCACTCACCCATTTGACCAAATAGCGTCTTGATATTTTAGCTGATGTTATTTCATGATGAAAAACCATAAATCTAATTTCTAGCCTTAACCATCAACTGTGAATCATAGTTGCGATCCTTCACACTCGTTTATAATCTTCATTTGATCTTAGTTATTAGGTGAACACTCTCGAGATCACTCTAGCGTCTCACAAGTGTCGTCCACTGACTATAGTCTTACCTATTTTACTTATTCATTTCAATGATCACATTGAATAAAAATGGTCATTTTTCAATGTTTTTTTCAAAAAATACAAATTCATTAATTTTTTGATCATTTCCTATTTGATGTAAATAAATATATCAAACAAATATTATAATTCCTTTTTGTCCCATTGATGTTTCGGACTGCTATTGATCAGTCTCTTATTGGCATATGTGCTTCCTGTCCGGATCTCTTCAATATTGCTTTGAATAGCAAGCATTATAAACAGAGATAGATAGTGGCTAGCAGTTGAGCTCAAGATGTGCGCTTCGTCCTGTTTGGGACTCGTCAGCTGGATGTGTCTGCATCCCAAAGTTGATGTTCACTCCAGGAATCGAACCCAGTGCCGTTAGGCTCAAACATTTTCTCAAGTACGACCAGCTAACATGTTCAAAATAGTACGAAGCACGCGTCCTGGATTCCACTGCTGACCGCCATCCATCTCTGCTTTACTTAAGACTACTGTTTGAACTTTAAATTTATACACTGCAAATCATTTTGGCGCAATTTACATTTGTATCGTAATAGTTTGCATCATTTAAATATCTCATATAAACATGCATATTTTTTTCCTATACGCTTATATGAATTTTCTTTCCGTTACTGGTAGCATACAAGGGGTTTACATTTTTGATAAAATTACGTTTTCTTGACAAAAAAAAACATTTTAGTAATTCTGTTCGATTAAATTTTAACTGGAAAATTTCATTAGTTAATGTAGTTGTGTCCTTTTGAACAAACATTTATAGTACAATTCATAGGTTATGTGGTTTACACGAAATGCGAATGATAAAAAACGAGTTATCTAATCTTGTACAAATAAGAATTTAGTGTATAGTAAACATGTATTTATGTATTGTATTTACATACTTATTTTTATCAAATGGTCAGTGAAATATGATGCTACGGTCAGGGAAAAGGTTAACATTTTTTTATTGTGCCATTGAAAGTATATATGAACAAATCAAACCTGTTTAGGGATTTGTGGATTAAGAACAAATGAATATTGATTTATGTTATCACATTTAAAGTAGTCAGAGACGAATTCAAATAATATAATTGACTATATAATTAATCACCTATTGTTGTTGAAATCATGTTCAGGCTTGTGTTTTTATTTGTTCACCAATAGTTGCTATGGCGTAGCTAACCATAGTCCATCTCTTTTATTCAGATTGCTCTGATTTTCCAGCATATACAGAATTTCAGCACTTACTCCTTCTTTAAAGCATTTAGTTCCTTCAAAGTTAACCATATATCTTGTTTCTAATGGCTATAGTACAATTGTTAATTTGGTTTACTAAGTGCTTTAGGCCTTATCATAAAGAAATGAACATTTTCCCTAACGTAACAAAAACATCAGAAAATACATATACCCATGCTCATACGCTCACCTCATTTTGAGGACTTTCGACATCAAATGACTAATATTATCATTGCACACTAAGTCAATATCTGAACAGTATTAGGTAAGAATTTGGACAACCTTATATTAAACCTTAATTATCTATGATAATTTTGTCTTGCCATAAGTAACTCTGATCAGACTGTCAGATGAACTGTTGAAACTATTTGAAAATTCAGTTGCTAAGATTATTTAAAAGATAATTTTTATATTCGATGGTTTCGAAATAATTGGTGCTAAATGTTTTGTTAAACTGTTCCCCTGATGAATGGCAATGTAATTTAGTGTTCAATCAATGTGTAAATTTTAGTGATTACGTGTTAGCGCTAAATTATTTTTTTCTTCTCTCTTTACATTATGTTCAGGTTGTTTTACTTTCATGGATATTATAATCTAGGCTATATATTGAACAGGTTGAATGATGCTCCATAATATAACTCAATTAACAACAATGATAACAACTATAGCATCAACAATAACCACAAACAATCTATCAACTTCATCAATAAATGAAGTGAATCAATCTATGATAACAAGATCATTAGTAACAACTACCAATATTATGCCAATAATCAATGCAAAATGTAAACCTATTGAATCATTAGAATTATTTGGACGTGTTTACGGTGATATGCATGGATATATTACATTATTTCTATGTCCTATATGTGTATTATCCAATATTTGTATTGTAATTGTACTTAATCAACGTGATATGATATCACCAACAAATTTTCTATTAACATCATTGGCAATAAGTGATGGTTTATTGATGATTTTTTATATACCATTTACAAGTTATTTCTTAATTGGTCGTCATACACGTAATTCAACTTATAATTGGGCTGTTTATCTTCTATTTCATATTAGTTTACAAAATTTTCTTCATTTAACTTCAAGTTATATTGTTGTTGTTATAGCTGTATTTCGAGTTCTATATGTAAAATTTATAGTACAGTGTCAAATTTTATGCAGTATGCAAAGAGCTAAACTATCTATTACAATAGTACTTGTAATTAGTAGTATATTATCTATTCCATGTATTATGAATCATCATATTGTACAAAACAATAATGAACATAAAATGAATAGTTACATGGTTACTTATGTAGATAATGAAGTTATGTTGAATTATCTTTATTGGAATACAGCAATATTTTTAAAACTTCTTCCATTATTATGTTTATGTGTACTTAGCTTTTTAATTATATTTACAATACGTAGACAAAATTCACGTATGAGAAAAATGAAAACAAAATCAATCATTTGTGTTGATCCTATTATTGATACATCTAGTTCACATAATCCTACTAGTTCAAATTCAATAATCATTGATAATAATGAATTAGATAAAAATAAAAATCAATTTATTAATCATAATATAAAAGAAAATATTAAATTTCAATCCATTCATATAACTAATACTTTACCATATACAACTAGTTCAATGTATAAAAGTGCTAATTTATTAAAAAAACGTAATACATTTGAAAATGAACGTGAAAAAGCAGAAAATCGAATGACAAAATTTTTATTAGCTATTGTTTTCATATTTATGATTACATTACTTCCTCAGGTAAGTTGTATATTATTCATATAAGTGAATGAATTTGTAAGCAACTGTTTTTAAGTATTTCTTTTTAAAAAACATTTTATTGATTCTATTAATGAATATGTAAACAAATGCTTCCTTATTAGATTGAAGGGGAGTTGTGGAGATTGTAGTAGTTTAACGGCACTGGAGGGCCATTTTTTCCTAGTATGGGACACTTCAGCAGTAGACATCCACAACCCTATACGTGGGATTCGAACTCAGGACATCCAGTTCCGCGAATAAACGTTTAACCTGTAGATTTCGCATGAGGTATCGTGGATGGCACTGCTGAGGAGTACCGAACTAGAAATAAAGGGCTGTCCAGTTCTTCCAGGTTTTCCATGGTGGTGATCTATTAAAATGCTTCCTTAGATAACCATTCATCGTCCTTAGTGGTAGGCGTAATTATATTATAATGATATTTTTTTCAGGGAACGAATTTGACTGGATATAAAATTAAGCTCATTTTAGTGTTCTCATATGACTTGTTTGACGTTTATATGTTCAGTTGCTTGTATACCATTGTATTTGAAGGATTGAGAGCGTAGTATATTAGCGGGCATTTCGCACACAGGAGTTAAATACTTTTATTTAGTTAGAAAGTATATAAAACGTCAGTTCAATTTCATTGGTGAGGATCTATTCACAAGTTTATTCTAAATCCGGTCTATCACACTAAACATATTTAGATATCTGCTTCAAAAAAAAGTTAGCTAGTCCCAAAATCTATGTATTTTAAATTTTTAATCATCACTTGGGTAACATTTGTTTACATAAATTTTGTGATTAAGGTTACATTCTATTGTTTTAATGACTAAGTTTGATTTAAACCCTACTTGGCAACACTAGCAAAAGTTGGCATAGCTTCGTATGCTTATCAGTCTATCATCACAACTTATATATTTGATACGTTTGTGATCAAAACTAGTAATACTTTTTCCATAACCTTTAATGAAGTCGATAAATTTGCAAGGATAATTGTAATGGAATACTATTTTTCTAAACATGTATCTTCTAAATTTTATAATATGTCTTCCTTCAAAACTTGTTTTGTCCTAGTTAGATCTAAATAATTTAGATTTGGTTTATTTCTAAAAAGACAAGGAACCTCTTGCTGAAGTGTAGTCAGTTTGAAATACAAGTAATATGTCACATTATTAGAGCGAAATATTTTGAATAAACATAGTGTATGGAAAAAAGTAATTTAATTCAACAATATTATTCTTATCAGTTGAGCCTAACTATAATGATAAATGTAATTATTACTCAGTTTAAGTCACAAATCGAATTCAGATGCAAGATAAGTGAGCTCTAGCGGACAGTGGACAATCATTTGTTTCTATTTTAAAACTCATCAGCATTACTGACCTATGATACAGCACAATAATAAACCAAGAATACATCATGTTTCACAACGTTTGAAAGATTGCTTTTTTGATTCAATAGTGATTTGAATTCGATCAGGGATCTTCATAAGCAAACATTCTGACATGTACGCTTATTCAGCCATCATCCTATGAAATTGTCAACAATGGTTCACACAGAACTAGGTTAATCACTATACCCTTTTAATCAGTACATAGAAGTGAAATGTTTATCCATAAAATATTACCAAATAAATTACGAACAGACTAGAAATTGTTTATTGTGAATGATTTGCCATCAAATTATACGTTTAAAGTTGAAGTAATTATCACTTTTGTGTACCTTAATTCATGTACTTTTAGTACAAAGATAAAATGAAGTTTCAATTATAGAAGAGTTTATAGAACAGTAATATGTTATTTAACTATTCATACTACTGTACATTATTCAATTAGCTAGTGTATTCATTCATAGGTCAATCACAATAATGTTATGTTCATTCACTACAAAAAAAGAGAGATTAGATACAGGTACAGTATCCAGTTTAATCCATTTGAATCAAATTATATAAATCCTTAATCTAAAATTAATAATAATTGAAAAGATTAGTAAAGAATATCGCGTGATACTGATCATTAGTTCTACATTGATAATTTCAAATAGGAAATCATATTTTTTCTCTTTTTTTTTAAAGAAAAGAAAATTGATTTAACTCCACTTCAATAAAATAAAATCAAGCATTAACACTGTAATGTAAAACTTACATTATTGACAACTATAATTCAATAACTGAGTTCATAAGTCAATTAAAGCTAAACCACCATAGAAAACTTAGAAGCACTGAACGGTCATTTCGTCCTAATATTGTACTCCTCAGCAGTGTGCATCTACGATCCTACTCGCGAACGTTTAACCTTCATCCAATGGTGTTAATGTTTAACTTCAACCAATCTAGATTATTTTGTAAAGAAATTTTATTGCTTTGCTTTATATAAATGACAATAATTCAATTCGAAGAAACAACAAAATGTAAACGTTAACTATTTTACATACAAAAAGTCATTGAGTTTATTTTTGCAATAAATTACTGTAATAAAATATTTTATTGCCAAAAAAAAACAAATATGTCAATCATTCGTTTGATTTACCTACTACCATAGTCCGATGACACTACTACTACTACTACTAATAATAATAATAATAATAATAATAATAATAATAATAATAATAGTACCCATAGTATGTTGTGAGTGTCTAGTGTGATCTAATTACCATTTCCAGGATTCATTTATACACTGTGATATTCATTATAGTGTTATCAATAAAATTATTCAAATTCTTTATTATTAAGTTAAACAAATTGTTTTGATTGGTCAACAGAGACTGATGTAAATAAACTGTTATCTTAGTGATTAATTTATTCAAAGAATTATATTTCCCTATAGATATAAGATTTTCACTTAGTTTATTAGTCATTAACTATGAAACATTCCTAAAAATAAAAATGTCCTACTCACTAATTCAACATCCTCTACACTCCTGTTTAAATAAAATATTGATATGAGCATAAAATGCTCGAATATACATTTTATAGTTGTCAGGAATTCACAGAAAGATGTAGATTGATAGACTTGTGGTAGAACAAAAATATATTAACTCAAAAATAGCAATAAAGTTATTACGTCCAAATGTTAATGTTATAATATATCAGTTATAAGTCATAAACACAAATAAAAGTTAAAGGACGTTACTTAAATCGGAAAGCTTGTGCGTGTTAGAGTCTCATTTGGTACTAGGATCCACAATTGTAAATAATTAATAATTCCAGTGAGGTTGTTGTGATTCCAGTAATGTCGCCATATGTAGAATATAATGTAAATATGACTGCATTCTATAAATGTAGATAATAGATAATTCAGAGTTTAGTTATCATAACCAGAGGCAATAAGGAACGAGAGATGTGTGTATAGCAGTATATTTACTAGTAGTTAACAGCGTGTGTTACACAACGGAAGAAAGTGTGTTTAATGTCATGCACTTAAACAACATATACAATCATTTTATAGTAGATGTAAAAACTGTGGAAATTGACAAAATAAATGCAAATAATATCAAAAACTACTTACAAAATAAGTTCGTCATGCTCATCTCCATAGACTAAATGATAAATAATAAATTATGGTAAATAATCAACAAACATTCTAGGTAGAGATGTTATAATTAAGTAATGATTGTTTTCTTTAGAAGGGAATTTTCACTGTATTATTTCCCGAAATTATTGTTTGAATTCATAGTTATGACTAAATTTTTCATTCCTTAACGTTATTACATTGATCTAAGATCACAATATATCTTATTTATTCATAGATTATATGGATTAAGCAACTTTCACTTACCTGCTTTATCATTCTTGATCATTCATTAAAATTTTCCAAAATATCAAATTTAATTTAGTTAGACATATGATTATAAGAAATACCATTTGGATGTCATAATTAAATTATTCATCACATATTAATCAATATGTGTATACAAATGATGAATACAGTACGATCCAGTATAAGAATAATTACAAACTATTACAAATTAACACTGTGTTACATTTTAGTACATATGTATAATCTCATTATAAACTAAACCTCTTACTTACTTACTTACTTACGCCTGTTACCTCCAATGGAGCATAGACAGCCGACTAGCATTCCCCAACCCACTCTGTCCTGGGCCTTCTTTTCTAGTTCCATCCAATTCTTGTTCATTTTTCTCATATCTATCTCCATTTCTCGGCGTAATGTGTTCTTTGGTCTTCCCATAGAAAACTAACTCTCTAAAAAAACACCAACCAAAAAAAAAATAATAAAATAAACATCAGTCTTCTAAATCTATTTAAGTGTGCTCTTATAATTTAAAATACAAAACTTCTGTCCATTTTTAAATAAACAACCTTTTCATTTTATAGTTTCTATTATTTTTTAAAAAAAAAACAAGCACAAGAACTAAATTCATTTTGTTTTCGTAAAAAAAGAGAGAACATTCAATTTTAATTAAGATAACAATCATTTCTTGTTCACTTGATCTTCTTTATTGTGTTTTTTTTTCTTCTTAAATGGTAAAATATCATTAGAGTAAAACTGGCTACGGTATTAAAGAATAATTATTGTCTTGTTTATCATATTAAAGTGTTATGTCATTGAAAAAGAAAACCTGCATAATTACAAAACAGTTAGCTAAGAATGTAAAAAAAATAGAAAAAAATAATACTAAAATATTGTTCAACACAGATTTAGCGATTTAATGAACAACTCCTTTTATGATTCGGAAAAGGTATCTTTAAAACAATACATAGCTCTGTTCTATCATACATGATCGATACAGGTTATCTAGTAGACAGGAGTAGGTCGTATTCCTACTAATTTTCCTTTTGAGGTTCAATCTCACCTCTTGCACATAATAGAAGCTATAAGGTTTTGAGTAAACAATTCAAGTCTTTGTATTTATAAGAATTGTATAAATCTTTATTACTTTGTTCCACAACTAGTACACCTGTCATCACACTATTATGGTTAGTTATATAATTTGTCCCAGTATTATTACTGACTCGTAAACTACCTTGATTGGTTTATTAAATTCGAATATGCACATAAATATTACTGTACATATCAGTAAAGTCGAATAAGGATCTAGTTGATAACAATAGTGTTCACTTATATATCTCGTTCTCATTCACAATATGATAGTTCTTAAAATTATAAATTATTTACACTATAATATTACCTAATGATTAGTTATAGAAAAAAAAGCTTTGAACGGAAGTTTGAGATGAAAGGTTTCAAACTGTTATAGTTGATAAAATGAACAGAATACATTGGTGTTTAAACATAAAAAATGACTGAAATAGTGGAGAGTCAATATTGTTTTTTGTTTGGATCAAAAGACATTAGGTCATATTTCAAATTGATGTTGATTATTAATTAATAATATAAATAATTTACAAGTGTTAAAAGAAGCAAAGATTGTAAATTGAATTACTAAAATTAAATGAATGTAACGAATTTGAAGAAAACTCGTTAAACAGATCAATATGAAGCAAAATTATTTAGACTGAATGTTTATGTTGATTGGTTAGATTTCATCTAGAAGTAATGTCAGTTCGTTGATATCTAATAAGACGTCAGCTGATATGTTGAAGTATATATATATATATATATATATATATATTTTTTTTTTCAGAAGTTCTTATTTCTTGAATATTTCACTGGATTTATATTTGATAAGCTTATAGGTGATTTAATTTTTAATAAACAATAATCTGGTGATTTTAAATAAATAATATATTTGTAATATTCCAATGAGTAGAAAATTAGATTTTCTGACGTGTCGTGACTTAGTGTAAGCAACTTCTTCAAAGAATAAATAAATTATCCCGTTGTACTATTTAAACTTGGATTAATTTTAATTTGGTTATTTATTCTCTGAAGAAGTGACTTACATTAAGTCACGAAACGTAAGTAAAATATAATTTTTCTACTCATCGGGATATTACAAATATATTAATTTATCTACAACAATCTACCTAATGCTCAATTTATTCAAAATTATCAAATCAAATCTTGGTAATGATACCTAAAAATCTGGTGATTTATTTATAATATGTTTTGTTATGTAATAGTTTAGAGACAAACAAGAAAAAAACTTCAAGAGTTCATTGAAATCTATTCAAATCTTACTGTATTTTAATAATTAATTTTTCAATATTTTTAAACATTTTTTGTTTGTTACTTTTAATAATAAAAAGGTTTGAAATTTTCAGGTTAAATAGAAATCTTATCAATCTGTGATTATTTCTTAGGTACGAATTCCGCCATTGAGATCGTGGATGTGCATTTTCGAGACATGTAATATTAGGACGAAATTGCTGTTCAGTTCTTTCAGGTTTTCTATAATGGTCTAGCTTTAATCGACTCATGAATTAAACTAATAAATTACTATAATGTCAACAAAAAACTGATCTAATTATTTTTGTAACACTCAGGATTAAAATATAAACATCTTATTTCATGACGTCACATAACTCAAGAAAATCAATCACATGAAATAATGAAACTCTGAAAGGACGTATACAAGATCGTTCATACATATGTTAGGTGGTTGGTTGTGGACTGCAAAACTTGATTGTTATTCGGAATACTTTATCAAGGTGTACCAGTCATGTCGAGGAAACTCGTGCTCTCTGAAATATTCGCTTCCGTGTCATTCAGCCTCATTATCAAGCTATTCTGGAGTTTCCTTTAAGAGTTTTATATTTGTAATTGTTTGAACAAAGACATGACAATCTAGTCGCTTTTATGTTGATTAAGTTCTATCAGTCTAGTTGTATTGTGTCAATATATATATATATATTATAATATATATGCATAACATTAAACTGCCGAATTCATTATTATAATGTTTGTTTCTTTCACTATTTCTTATACATTACAGGCAATATTACTATTTTTAAGTGGACTTGTTGGTGATTGTTTCACAGATACTGTGTATAATGCATTGGGTGATTTTATGGATCTATTGACAATTGTTAATAATGGTATTAATTTTATATTGTATTGTTCAATGTCACATCAATTTCGTACAACTTTCATACAATTCTGTACACGAATATTTAAAATATGTAAGAAGACCTAATGCCCAATATTGATAAATCTTTGTTTTTCGCTTATTCTTTTCATTATTTTAAACGCATTTTCCAACATCTCAATCGTGTACTTTTTCATACACTTCACATTTCCATAGTGAGATATGTATGTACAGGTATATACCCTGTTAAATACAGTAAAACAATAATGAAATAAAAATACATATGAAACTAGAGGAAAAGAATTGTAAATGTGATATGTAGCTAGAACAAATAGAAATTCAGTTTTCTTCACGAGATGTGATTATATCTTAGTTATTGTATATTTATTGTTTACAATGAAATCATAATTATGTTTGGTAATTCATTGTTATTATAAAAGAAATACTCAATACAATATCGTGTTTTTACTTTATTTCACTTCAGAAGGGGGCACTTTGTTTAAATAACAAACACCTATCTGGGAGATCATGAAGTTCAGCCTCTTTCATATCAAGCATTTAGACACCTCGTGTGTATATGTATCAATTTCTATCTGGTCTATGAGTATTCATTGTCAATCTATGCGATTTCCTTCAATATATTTATTGATTACAGGCATATTGTATCACATATTTTTGGTGAGGTGAATTTCAACTTCATTTCATCCATCCAAGTTACTAAGAGTATAATGAGTATTTCAAAGTTTAATGTACTTAAGTCGAGATAAAAAAACGTTTCTTGAGTTAGGTTAAACTTACTCATGATGAGTTTTATTTTAATGTTTTATCATAGTTGATATTTTTGTAAATACTTAAAGGCACACTGAAATAAGTTACTTGTGTTTTAATGTTATGTAATTGTTTGAAACTTAATAGACCTGTTCCATATTTCATTGCTTGGGCAATATGAATTTTAATTGTTTAATACTTTATATTTAACAATTATCATTTGAAGTTGGTTAGCCAATTACATTCGATTAATAAATAGGTGAACTTATAACACTATACATATCTCAGAAACGTATTCATGTACCGGAGGTGTTGTTTGTAGTTCATTTACATCTTTTTTAAAGTTTACATCTTGTTTTATGAAACACGATTTTATAAGGATTGTACTGTGAAGTATTCCGTTGATTATAAAATATGAAGTGCACTTAAATCGATTTGTATGGAAACTCTTCTATTGAGCACTTTTACTCATGTAAGAAAAATTGAATCGGTTGTAAGATTTTATCAGTTACATAAGACATTCAAATAATTTGAACATTCTATTTTTTATTTCTAATTCAACTGAAGGATATTGATTAATTATGTAATTTTACTCTACCTAACAAATTAAATTATGGTCACTAGTTTGAGGGACTTAATATCATGTACCCCAATTTAATGTTCATTTCATCCTTCCTCCAATAACTTAAAAAGGATGGTAATAATTTTGACTTGTTTTAAAGAAATATTTTATAAATATGAAATGAGTATTTTCATTATTCAGTTTTACAATGGTAGGTATTAACCAAAAACATTGAATTTGTGTATCTTATACTTAATATAATATATCATATAATATTTTAAACTTCAAAGCTATTAAATTATTGACTGCTTCTATTAACTACTTGTGTGTCTATTATTTATACACTTCAAACATGTAACTTGTTTGTGAGTGACAAGTAGTACAGCGGTTAGATCAATTCTAATTAACATAAGAATCAGAAGTATATTAACATTATTTTTCTTTTCAGAAAGCATGTAAGTCAAATATGAAATTTCTTAATGTTATGTAATATAATTGAACTGACATTATGCAACCAGTGGGATATGAAAAATATGGAGTTAATTTGTTTTGAAATATCTACAAATTATCTGTCCTAAATAATTAATTATTAAAATATACCCATAACTGCATGATAATCATCAGCTGAAAACCAAAATAACGTTAAATTTTTTAAAGGTACGCCTAAAATATTCTATAAAATGTTTTCAATTTGAATGCCATGTTTAAACAAGTTTACATTCCGGTTATTCAAAAAAAATAATTGGAAACAGGAAGATTAAAAGTAAACTATTCATAAAGTTTTTTGGATTATAATGGTACATACATTTCTACAGTTTGATCAAATAATAATTACTAATATCAGATGGGTTTTTTTGGATATTATAGTAATTTCAATGGTTAATATCATGAGTCAGTTGTAGCTAGACATTTTTTAAACTTTGGCTCCGTTGAATGTCGGCTCAGTGGTCTAGTGGTTAAGTGTTCGCGCGCGAAACCGGTAGGTCCTGAGTTCAAATCTCGCAGGGGGCGAGGTCGTGGATGCGCACTGTTGAGTCCCACAATAGGACGAAACGGCCGTCCAGTGCATCCAGGTTTTCCGTGATGGTCTAGCTTCAACTGACTCATGATCTTAACCATTGTAATTATTATTATTTTATTATATTTAGTAAATCAACTTAAAAGGAATTACAGTAAATCAGTAAGAACATCTACTAGGAATAATGGCAACTATTCCTTAAATCCCTACAGAAACCGACAAATACTTGAAATACAGTTAGTGTTGTTAATACATTTTATGAAAAACAGAAAAACAACAATGAATTATACTTATATATAAAATATAAGTGAAATTGTGAAAATTCAATAATGAAATGGTGGAGAAGATTTGTTAACTCAAGTGGATTTCGACATCATCAGTTGATGAGGTAGTTTAGAAGAACGACGAAAACTCTACATTCTGTATAGATTTATTCATACAAATAAAAATTTATTTAAAATAATGGAAGAAATTGACAACTGTTCAGACATCCTCTATCGATAAAAACAAACTGTATGCGAGTGATTTTCTTCATTTCTAAAAGATTAACCAAAGTTGAATGAAATTGTTCATGAAAGTATCTTTTCATGCTCAAATAAACAATAACTCAATTAAAGTTTTAAGTTTTCGTTGATCAGCTCATCCTAATAGCGCCTCATTTGAGTATGAGTCAAACATGTTAAAATAATACACACTAAACTATGTGGCATTTAATGCTTTTGTTTCTAAGTTATAAGAAGAGAACGCTATCCTAATGTAAATCGGCATCAAACTTTATCTCACGTGATATATAAACTTATCCCATTTTAATCATTGAAAAATTTCAATTATATTAAAACATAATTAATATGAACGAAGAATATTCTTTTCAATGATTTCTCATCAGATTCTACAAATATATATCTAAATTAGTACTCCATAAAATTGGCCATGTTTAAGGCAGAGTACATCATTTCAAATTGTAATATGTGAAACAAGAATTGTTTGTTATATAAAATTAAATCATTAATGTTGGGGCTGACTATTATGAAGTGTTAACTTGAATCAATTTATAAGTGAGATAAAATTGTGAGATAAATGATTTAAATAAATATTGGGCAACATGGGATGAGGGAGAGAATAATGGAATAAAAATCAGAAATTACGTAATATGTAGAATAATATGAATTAGGTCAGATATGGTAGATAGGGGTGGATGCTGAATAAATTTCTCAAAAAGGTAATCAAGTGTAATAATCATAATAATAATGATAAGGATAATAATAGTAATAATGGTAAAGATAATAATAGTAAATTTGGAACATAAAAATGAACATTAATCAAATTACGTTACCACATAAAATTGATTATTAAGTAGTTGGCCAGGGTAAAAGAGGCGGCTGAACATTTTTATTTTGGATGCAAAGCTCTGGCTTTTTGATCCGAGTAATCACTGCTTCAGCCGTCTGCAAGATTCTCAGTCTGATGGATTTAGGTACGCTGCTGTTGATACGATATATTATTGCGAAAGATTGCTCCATGTTGCCCCGTCTGAATTAAGTATGTTAAAATAGAGCTGTTAACCGTTTTGACTACACCTTTGCTTAACCACACTGGGAGGTGCTCACGAGCCTGAATATACAAATTCCTAGTTTTGTCGCTATGGCTTTCTTCTTACTTAATCGGATATTAGCAAAAACTGCCTGTCTAGACTGGGGATAGTTAGGAATAAGTAGCATATATTCCAACAGTGTCAGTCGACGGAAATATACCTAAGTAACTGATCTATCAATAGAAACAATAGTTTACACAAATATTAAATCAATGTTTAATATATACGTTTTTAGTGACAATATATACGTTTTTGCTAGTGTCAACAAGTAAAATGAATTAGATGTGTGGAAAAAATGATATCCATCTCTTCATCATGTGTCAAACGGTATCTTGTTGGTTTCAACACTTTTGTGACACCTTACCTATGTAGTATCACGATCTTTCACACAAAGCAAGATAGAAAATCAACAAGCACAAAATAATCCAAAAATGTAGAATATTACATGCGATAAGCTGTCAAAATTTAATAGATCAATAATTTTCCGTCAAACGAATACTTATTTCAAGTTTCCAATAAAAGCCAATATAAGCAAAGATGTATAGTGGCTAGCAGTGGAATCCAAGATGCGAGCTTCGTCCTATTTGGGACTCGTCAGCTGAATATATCTGCATCTCGAAGTTGATGTTCACTATGTAACTCGAATCCAGTACCGTTCGCTCCAAACACCATCGCGATATCCACTTATCTACTGAGCCCTTATAGTCACTTGCTTGTGCAATTGGATGAAGTTTAAACTCACTTCGTATCATTTACTTGAATCTCCACATTGATGTTTAGGTCTACAATTGATCAGTCTCTTATTGGCATATATGCGTACTGTGCGTATTGTCTCGATATTGCCTTAATTCACTGCTAACCACTATCCATCTTTGTTCATAATGCGCGTAAATTAAAGCAATCTCGAGGTAATACACACAGTATGCGCATATGCCAATAATACACTGAGCAATTGCAGTCCTAAACATTAATGTGAAGATTCAAGTAAATGATACGAAGTGAATTTGAAAGACAAAGTAATTCGTCTTGAAAATTTTATTTGAGAGCTTTATAAGAGTCAGTGAAGGTTAAGTTTTTCGAATATGGCTTAACATGAATGTGCGAACTCAAGCATTTTCAATTATCTATAGATAAGGCTAATAATTTATTTATTTATTTATTACATTATTTCTTTTAAAATAAGAAATATTGATTGATTCCAAAGTTTGATGTTGACGATTAATCTTGAAGACTGGTTAGTTTCCAGATTTTCATCGAGAGTTGGAATATTATAGATATGGTTTTGTTATATATGAAAAACAGTCAATGTTTCCATTACTTAAACACCTATTACCTCTCAATAACATAATATAAATTAAATAGCTAACTACTGAATATAAGGTAAAAAACGAGGTATATTTCAATGACATCAAAGTAACACACTGATTCCAACTAAATATAAGTGTTGAAAACTGCTGTTTATATATTATTTCTCTTTCGAACTTATGAAAGAGTTGATTGGTGTTGTATACGCCTG